GCTAAAATCAAAACATTGAGAAATATAACGCATCACTTAAAGAAATACTTCACTTCGCAACCGATGAACCTTTCTGACAGCCATATGAGTACCCAAGTAGTACCATATAGTCGCAATATAGCTTGTTTATACTTGCTTGAGTATGGTTAGTTGGGGAATCCGATGAAACTGTCACTTCTTGAAACTAATCCCTTTTGTATTTCTTTTCGCATCTCTACATCGATTCAATGATGTACGGAGTTTTGTTGAAAATTTGTTTTCGTTGAAGGAAGTATCACAACACAGGTAATTGCTAATAGATATGTTTGCAGACAGTGACAGATGGTAGACATGAAGATCCAGTGGAAGTCCCCGGCAAAGGTGTTATATCCTGGACAAATGGCAAGTTCTAAATTTGCTGTTGTCGTCATCATAGTCGCCGTTGGAAGTACCATTCGTATATTTAAAATTAACCACCAACCGCAGAAAATGAATTATCACGTATCTATGTTGTTCATTACACCAAGCTAGTCGCTTATCATATTTTGTCGTGCAGTGTTGTGGTTTTGAGATCCTCGATTACCCTGGAAGGATCGTTTTTACTTACTGATCAGAAAATCATGAGTAGTATATTCTTATATTCTACATATTTTCATATAAACATATAATTCATTGTGTAGGGATGGGCCTGATTGAAGCGATTTGGATGGGGAGAGTGGAATTGTCAACTCCCTGTTTTTAACGTTTCGTGAATTCAAGGTGGACTCTTCTCCCCACTCATTGGGACATCCCCTCGTATGATAGCTTGTTCTGTATCGGGTTGGAACATTTTTATCATTGGAAGGAGATTCTTCTCGCTCCTATGGATCACGCGTAAGTGCGTCTGCTTACGGGTCCACCCTCCATTTTTGGCCCTTCATACAATGGTAAATTGAATACAACCAGGTATCGTATTTGATCAAGTTAGGCATAACATTTGATAACGGCACAAAAGCATTTGTAAACAAACATTCTAAGGGCCTTTACACGCGAACCAAAGTACGCCCACGCGAACCAACAACATCATCGGATAGGAGCAACTATCACCTGTCCGGAAGTGGTATTGGTTTGCGTGGGCGTACTTTGGTTCGCGTGTAAAAGGCCTTAGAAAGTTTGTTTACAAATGCTTTTGTGCCGTTATCAAATGTTATGCCTGAAGTCATACGCGGTGGACAGTTCACTGTCTAATGGCTGTGCCCTGCAACAATGAGTGGTATCCTTTACATACATTCATACATTATTTAGAACTGTTTATTTATGGCCTTGATCGTTCGGATTTCGCATATTATTAAAATTCTATTTTTGACGTTGGATAACGTCTTTCGGCAACATACGGGGGTACAAAATTGAAAACAGTCATTTTGGATGCGTTACGAAAAATTAAAAGATTTTGAACGATAATAACTCAACCGTCTCTCGATAGATTTACGAGATAATGGCATCAATCGATTGGAAATATTTCTACCAATTTGCTGAACGTTTCAAAACTATTGATTTAATTCTGTAAACTATTGAAAAATGGTTAAAAGTAAACCATTGTCTAAAGATGGTGAAAATCGATTGATTTTTTTATATTCTTATACTTTCTCCAACCGAGACATCAGATGCGAGTATCTGACACCTCTGATATTTTCTGTTCTACTATATAAGCGTCCAACAAGGTCGCCCGTTCCATCATTGTCAACAACATCAGCCCAACAAAACGGCCCTTTTCAGGGCCACCAAACTTTCGCAAAAGAGTTATTAAGGAATATTCCTAAAATATAATATACACAATTAAGTACAACACATAACAGACGTTATCCAACGCCAACCCTGCGGTCGTATCTAGTATACAACCCTTCCAACTTTTTTAGAGTCGATTAAAGACATTTTTACCTGTTTGTTTTTTTTTTAGTTTGTTAGCATTGAAAGGCCGCCATTTTGCAAATTTGTTTTTAAATTCATCGATCGCCGCCTAAATTAACTGATTGGTAATGCAACCCCTTTGATATTTTGGAGGTCAGATAAAGGGTGATACGGTCAAAATATGGTCAATATCAACTTGACGTATTTCTTTCAATTTTGCATTTAAAAAACCTGAACACCCCTCATTTTGAAGGTGTGTGTGTGTGTGTAGAATGTTGCTCCTATTTTGATTTTGGAATTCACTCTTCAGTTGTCAAAATGCCGTCCAAGCAAGAAAAGCAGCGTATCAAAATTTTGCTCGCGCATCGCGAAAATCCGAGCTACTCGCACGCAAAGTTGGCAAAATCGCTAAAAGTTGCCAAATCAACCGTTACAAATGTAATTAAAGTGTTTGGGGAACGTTTGTCGACAGCCAGGAAGTCTGGATCGGGGGGAAATCGAAAACCGGAAGCCGCTGAGACGACAAAGAGAGTTGCCGGTAGTTTCAAGCGAAACCCTAACCTCTCTCTCCGAGATGCCGCAAATAAGCTGGGTGTATCGTCTACAACCGTGCATCGAGCCAAAAAACGAGCCGGACTATCGACTTACAAGAAGGTAGTGACTCCAAATCGCGATGATAAACAAAATACGACGGCCAAAGCGCGATCCCGGAGGCTGTACACGACGATGCTGACGAAGTTTGACTGCGTGGTAATGGACGACGAAACCTACGTCAAAGCCGACTACAAGCAGCTTCCGGGACAGGAGTTTTATACGGCAAAAGGAAGGGGAAAGGTAGCAGATGTTTTCAAGCACATGAAACTGTCAAAGTTCGCAAAGAAATATCGGGTTTGGCAAGCCATCTGTACCTGTGGCTTGAAAAGCAGCATTTTCATAGCTTCCAGGACTGTCAACCAAGATATTTACGTGAAAGAGTGTTTGAATAAACGTCTGCTGCCTTTCCTGAAGAAACACGGTTGTTCCGTACTGTTTTGGCCGGATTTGGCATCTTGCCATTACGGTAAAAAGGCCATGGAGTGGTACGCCGCCAACAACGTGCAGGTGGTTCCCAAGGACAAGAACCCTCCCAACACGCCAGAGCTCCGCCCAATTGAGAAATACTGGGCTATTGTCAAGCGGAACCTAAAGAAGACCAAAAAAACTGCTAAGGGCGAGCAGCAGTTCAAGGCAAACTGGCTTTCTGCGGCGAAGAAGGTGGACAAGGTGGCTGTACAAAATCTGATGGCAGGGGTCAAGCGTAAGGCCCGGCAATTCGGATTTGGAAAAGCGGAAGCCTAACTGAATATTTTTCCTGAATTTTATACTAATTGAACTTGAAAAAGAAATTTAATTTGATTTTTTAAATAAACGATTTCACCGATTTACACGCGTTTTCCCTTGACCAAATTTTGACCGTATCACCCTTTAGTCGCTATAATGATAGTCTGGTGGATAGAATCGCGGGAACCAATTGAGCTGTCAAATAGTGGAACCAATCGAGCAAATCACGACCAACGACAGAAAAGAACACATCAGCTATTGCGAATAAAACTTCGGAAACCCTTTTCTCGGGACTCAAGGCTGGCCTACGCAAACTAATACCATCTTTGGGTTGGGGAAAGTTTCCCCTATCCGATGATGCCGGTAATTTGCGTTCGATTGGCGAGGAAAGAATAACCAACGTTTTGTTTATAAAAGTTGATGGTACCTTTTCAATTGTTGGTCTAAAATATATTGAATAGGTTCCGCTTTTTGACAGATCGAAATTCTATCCACCAGACTATGAATATAGCGGCCACACAACAAATAATTACAATGAGAATATCGCAGGTTGAATTCTTGATTTTTAACTTTTTTTGGTAACTTCCTTGGGAGTACTCCCGCTCTGGTACCACTTCCAAATTTGGCCTATTTGGTGAAAAATGTTTCTTAGCCTTCATACTGATCGAACCTTTGGTGGCCTTCCAGAACGTTGTCCAGGTTTTGTTTAGGAGTCGCCCCTTTGTGAGGTGGCTTCTAACTGAACTGAATTAAGAACAATTGTGAAATGAGAAAAAGCACATACTTGATTTAGTTAAAATTGATTCTCATTACATGTATTTGTAATTATATTTCTTCTTAACAGTTTGCTATTTAGATTATCATAGGAATAATTGAATGAGTAGTTATTTCTAATTATCATTTAATATTTCTGACTTTTTTTTATTAGTGTTGAGACATAAACAAGAGACATTTTCATTATAGCTTTGAGCGAACAACTTTCGACTAGACCACAACTTTACTTACCTTACAAAAAATTCCTACCAAATTCGCTAATTACATATGACTAGGAGGATTTACATCACATTTCAAAAAAGGTCACATGTTCATTACATGATTAATTAGTACGTCGTTCAAGTAGCTAGTTAGTAGTTTACTGGTACCGGGTTGGTGTTACTAGCACTCGCTCCATCATCAGACAACGACTACACTTGTATTTTAGTAAAATTAATCCATTATGATTTTTGCATGGCATTTACGATTTCCGTTCATTTGACTTGAGTTACCTATGATTATTGTGCATTAGCAAGTGTGCGGCAGATAAAACAACATGCTCGATGACGATGGGAGACACACACATGCACACACGATTGGCTTAGTAGGAAAACAGTCTCCATACTGAAAGAAGAAGAAAACACACGATCAGACTCTGGCAATGGAATTAATGGCGAAATGTGAATTTAATGAGAACGTCGGAGCTTACATGGAATGGAGAATATGAGCAGGAGTAATGATGACCCTGACCGGGCGCATGTAAGATCGCGCGCGCACCCACGCGGGTGGATTTACTTCAGTTTACAACAACTTCCATGTCGGCGGTTAAATTTAGATCCGATTCCGATTCGGACGCGCGGCAGCGGATGCCAATTATTTGAAATGGAAGGTGTTTGGTGTGTGTTATGAAATGACTTTGGAATGATCGCCTAATGGTGCCTATGATGATGATGATGATGATGATGATGATGCGGCGGGGATCAGCTACCGGAACGGGAGTACTGGGAAGCTTGCCAATCGGGGATCGGTTTCTTTTACGGGCAGAAATAAACCTTTCTTCGTTTAGATTTTCTCTAGTGTTTTTTTTATTTTTCATTTTTTATTAATTACTCAATAATAATAGTAATATTTATACTCATTAAAAATGTTATATCAATAAATTTTTCCATCTTCTCTTGTCAGTAATACGACAGATTTATTTATAGTTGATTTCTCGCTTTGTTAAAACATCTAAGGGCCGAATTGGATTTTGGTATTCCTACTCGGGGAAGAGTCCGTTTTCGTTCTTCCCCGTTTCTTTTAATATTTTTTTTTTTTTAATTTTTGATTCGACGAAATCAGGCGCGCAAAACGGAAAAAGCGTTCGTTCGTTTCAGTTTGTGTACAATTTGTGTTAATTTTTTGTTTGTTCGTCCTATATCGATGCATCAGAAAAACAAATTTCTTCTTTTACTTTGTTTGATAGATTAGAAAATTCCTTTCTTGCGTAGAAACTAACATTGCTAGCGACAAACAAAAAGAAAAATCTCCAGTTACAACATTTAATCAATAATTATTACAGTAACGTTACATGCTATTTTTTCTTTTACTTGGTTTTTGTGTGTGTGTGTGTAATAATTTCTTCCTGTTGGCGGTGTGTTTGCTCCCGCTTCTTCGTCTAGCATACCAGTAAAACAACACACTCTCTTTGATTAATGGATTATTAGCTGTAAAAGATAATCTTTACACTAGACAAGAAAAGTGTGTGATTGAATCCATTTTGCCTGTTAAACCCCTCTTTTCTATTGGTTTAATTTGTGTTATCCGCTTCGAAAAACCGAAACCCATCTCTAGTAGTTACATCGGTGTTACTACAAACTTAGTAAAGACCAAAAAAATAGAATGTTATATAAACTAAACGCTTACACTTTTGTTACTTCACAAGAACAAAAAGAATTAAAAAGAAAAACAGAATAAACACGTCTCCATTTTCCATCTTTTCCAATCCTTAGACATTGTTTTGCTTAAATTTATTGTTGTGTGTGGTTTTTTTTTTTTGATTTTGTCACTTACAATAACTCTACTACGCACACGTTCTTTGATGTCGCGCACGACGCTGTTGATTTAGCATTGAGGGGTGGTTTCAATAAACTGTCGGATTGTGTTTTCATTGGCAGCAAAAAGAATTGCATGGTAAACTATTTCCCGGTTAGTCGGTCTAAACTATTATAGAAAGGAAGAGTAACTGCAGCAGAGTAACACTGATCTTTTGCTTTTCTGTGTGGTTTTGGTCTGTGTAGGTGTGCCATCTGTATAACGGTGAATCTGTAAAAAAAAGGTAGATGGAGAAGGAAAACATAAATTAAATGATTAATAATGGTCCAATTGGTGAAAATATATTAAAATCAAATTCATACAACTGATACGGCATTGATCCGATTTCCGATTTAATAACTTTTCTGATTGAAAAAACCTAATCGTATGCGTTTCTTTTACATACCTCTCCCCCCTCATTCACAAATACACAAATGAGAAAGCTTAGAAGTATTCTAGGGCACTTATGAAACAAAAAACCGTCACTTTCAAGAACTGTGAAGAGAATTTTGATGAGAATTTAAATTAGTTTTAGAATTGTAGGGATAACACCAAAGTGGGGGAGGTCGCTCATCGATTCTTCCGGTTCACCTCCTAGCATCGTGCTAGAAGGTACCAGGTGGTAACCAGGTTTGTTGATCAATAGTTCGATGACGTCATTTCGTTAGCGTCTGCAATGGGAAATTCTCATAGCAGGCGTTGACGATGAGACGTTGTCGAATTGTTGATTAGCAACCATCGTCACCGATTAATGTCCGTTTAGACTATCTGATTTGTTGGTCTGATTCGAGCTGACTGCTCGAAAATTTTGTCGAATGCAAAGTTTGGTCGTGTTTACACTTTTTCGACGTGACGTTAGATTTGTCGAACGGGATAGGATTGTTTTTAATTTTCGTTTGACTTGTTGACGCAGTTTTAACATTGAGTTTGGTGTTGGGTAATTTTTGGAGAAAGATTTATTAGATTGGAGAAAGATAACACGACCGGAATGGCGTCCAGTAGCAAGGTAAATTGTTTGATTAATTATAATTACTCTTTCAGTTTCAATAGTTGATTTACTTTTTATATTCTTCAGCGGGACTGGTCAAATAATGCCGTGATGAAATTGATCGCGGTGTGGTCATCCAATGAGTGCTTGTATAACACGAAGCACTCGTTGTATAAGAACAAGCACGCCAGGCAGCATGCCCTCAGCGAAATGTGTGACTCGATGCAAGCATTTATTCTGGATGTCAGCATTGAAGATATAAAAAACAAAACTAATAATCTGCGCAGTCAATATTCCCGAGAATTGGCTAAACAGAGGGATAGCGCTCGCAGTGGTGCTGGTACAGAAGATCTGTACGAACCTGCTGCGTATTGGTTCCCTTACATGCACTTTTTAAAGGATTACGTGACGACAAGGAAAGGGAAATCTAACGTTGATGATTCAGACGTAAGTTCAAAACCTATTAATCACACAGGGCAGCAGCCAATATTTATATATTTACAGTATCTAGAACCCGAGGACAAAGACCAGATTAATGGTGATACGCAGAACGACTCGTTTTCATCTATTATCGAAGGCACGGGAATTCCACCACCACCGAAAAAGCGGAGAGCAACCGATGATGGCTTGCTGAACCATGCTGCATCGGCTCTGGAGTCGATTGCTACAATGTTGGCCCCAGAAAAAGACAATCGGCTAGATGATGTGCATACGTTTGGGGAGCACATCAAGGCCGAACTTTATGCACTTCCTCCGAGGGATAGGGAGGAGTTGAAGTTTAAGTTAACAGCACTTATTTATGAGTTCAAACTGGCCAGAACGTAAGTTCGTATATGCAACATCCGGAAATTTGCTGTTAAGCATTTTGATTTATTTTACAATAAAATATGAGAAATAGAAGATTATAAAGAAAAAGGAAAAAAGTCTTTGTTGAGCAGAACATGATAAATATATGCACAAGGGTGGTTCTAATTTGTAATTCCCAGCTCCCCACTATTCTTTCGTTGTGTATTAAGGTCCCCAACAACTCCTCAACGGAATTTTATTAAGAATACTATGCAGAACAACTTCGTCGAAGACCGCAAATTGAATTGACTTCTGTACTAACCTTTTACTTCAGACCAAGTGCTCCGCACATACCTACAAGCTCATACACAGTCAAGATTCCTATAGTACGGATTCGTTCTTGTCGGATTCCTATAGAACGGTTTCCACTGGATTCCTTTAGTACGGTCGATCCGGCATTAACGAATACACGTAGTATATGGGATTTAAGCTAATTGGGACCAAACACTGATTGTACGGAAATTTGAAGAGATAACTTCCTGATTTCTATGAAGAAGTTGTTAAGCAGATAGTTAGCCAACTTTTGGGAACATTCAGTTTCCGGAAGGTCACAAGTCTGGTCGTGTGGAAGATCCGGAACATTAATTAATTTAGCTTTATTTAGGAGGCTTTCAGCCTTAGGCTGGTTCGCCTCCGACAGATCCGGAACATCCTTAAAAGTGGTCAATTCATTTTCGGGAACTCCGCGGTTTTTTCGAAACAACTTATAGACATCTTATCAGAATGAATTCGGAGTTGTGACCTGAATATGGCCTCTAGTGACTCCGATAGTCCATCGGAAGGTCCGGAAGATCCGTAAAAGTGGTCAGTTCATGAAACTAATCCTAGAACTTCGCGACTTTTTCGAAACAACTTAGACATCTTATCAGAATGAATGCGGAGTTGTGACCTGAATATGGCCTTTGGGGACCACGGGATGGTTCATCGGAAGATCCGGAATATCCGTAAAAGTGGTCAACTCATGAAATTGATCCCAGAACTCCGCGGTTTGTTCTAAACAACTTATAGACATCCTATCAAAATTAATTCATAGTTTTGATCTGAATATGGCCTCTGGGGATCACGAAATGGTTGATCGGAAGAGCCGGAACATCCGTAAAAGTAATCAATTCATTGAATTGATCCTAGAGCTTCGTGGATTTTTTTCGACACCACTCATAGACGTATTATCGGAATGAATTTGGAGTTGTGACCAGAATATAGACTCTGAGCACTACGGGATGGTCCTCCGGGAGATCCGGAACATCAGCAAAAGTGGTCAACTCATTAAATTATTATCGTATTTCTCCTCAGTAGCCACTGCCGACTCCACAATTTTCTTTTCCGCTTTTTTTGCATTTTATTTACAATTATAAATGTAAATATACCAACAGAAGCAAGTGCTAAATTTCTATAATTCATGCTCATCCAGCGGTATATCGGGAACTTAATAATGAACAAGTACAATGATTTGTCCGAGAAACTACGAATTAGAACTGAATATTTATTTTCTGCTTTGATTTCGTTTCAAATTTTCAAATCCAGATCGTTTGACAGATTACCTTTCCGACTTGGGAGAACAGTGTAAACACGGTCAGATAAAGGGATTCGACATGATTTGTCGAAAGTAAAATCGAGCAGATTTTTCATTATGGCGGCATGGAAAGTCAGACATACAAATCAGATAGTCTAAACGGACCTTAATGAAAAATCCGCTCGAATTTACTTTCGACACACATTGTCGAACCCTCTGCATGGTGAATGACACAGTAGGCTGCGCTTGAAAGCTGGCCTGTTTTTCTTTTGCTGTGTGTTTTTCGACAGCAAATTAAACATTTTTCTTTTTGTTTTAAATTTGTTAATTTGTGTACTGAAATTTAGTTTCAAGTGTCCATAAAGTTTTCATTTATGTCGTTTTCGTTTTTACTACACTACACCGGTGTAGTGTAAGCAGCAATAAGTGCGAGTCATTGACAGTTCATCATCATTTGTTTGTAAACAAAGGTGCAACCGATAGCTACACCCTAAATTTTTTCGGTGTTCGGCAGTGTAGCACCGGTGTAGCTACACCGCAAAAACGAAAACGACATTAGTGATGCATCGTGTTTTGTTGAGTGACTCGGTTGACCTTGAATCTAACCTCCAGAATCTACGACGCAGCTTCAATTATATTGTTCGGTGTAGGTTCTCATTGCCTCCCGGGAGTCTTCGAGTTCGGATGGCACACTTTCGGCGTGTAGTTCTATTGAAAGATTCGTCACCGTGGGTGATTTTGAACCCGGTCCGGTTGGTGAATTAGCCCGGGAACGTGTTGATAATGTGTCGCGAGTTTTGATCGTGATTCAGCCGTGAATCAGCAAGTTTTCCACTTGCAAAAGCGCTCGGCTGCTGGTCTCTCGACGGTTCCGGAGATTGCGAGCAATATGAAAGATGCCTCGCTGGATACGCCCAAGACTGGACGGGTGGTAGCTGGTGGCCGCGAACCACCTCCCAGATGACCATGGCGATGCAAGAAAATTTGTGTTCGTTGAAGGAAGTATTATGATAAAGGTGCATCACGAAATGAGCTGCAAAGCTTAGAGAAAATCAAAACTACGCAACGCATGGATTGGAGGATCAAGTGAACATGGTGAGACCAGTCCAAATACATTTAACATTTTACACAATTCACAAAACATAAACTAAATACGTGTCTGGTTTGAAAAGAATATTTTCGAACCTGGAAGCGTGTATGTCATACCAATATCCATTTAATAATGGTGATGCATACATTCGGGGCTTATTGTAAGTGAAAGTAACCTCGGAATGGGCGTGACTCTCCAGACATCCTGAAATGGGTTGCTGGATCTGCAATAGAGCTATCACCTTCTAACTCCCGGACTAAAGCTGTCTACAATGACCATAAATGCGACATTGTAGAGAGAGTTCTTCCATAATAACACTGCCGACCAGTGGGGGTTAGATTGAATACACACACACACACTTTGTCGAATACCCCCCCCCCCTGTTTGCTGGTGTTCACACTGCTTGCACATGTCCAAAGAACTGTCAATTTAGATTTCAAAACAAAACTGTAACAGGAATCAAAAGTAAATACTTCCATCATGAATTACCGGAAAATTGCTCTAGCTTCGGTAGGTGTATTTTCTTTTATTATTTTAAATAAAATGAGAAGGAGAAGGTTAACTTTGTGGAGTAGCAAATGGTTGCTCAAGAGGAACACCGGCAGGGATCTGGCTCATCTTGTCCTTCAAGAGCTGCGATATGAAGGGAAGCCAGGATGTCGATACCAACTTTCGAAAAGCTAGCGGGACAAGTTCTACATGATTCCTTGAGTTCTGAAAATTTCTGTTAAAAACTCAATGCTGCATATTTTTTTGAAGATTTTCGGACATCCCTGAAGTTTTGTTTCTGTTCT